ATTCAATGGAACTTTTTTTGGCAATATTCATCATGGTCTTATAGAACTTACTGTAATATTGCGGCCTTACGACAAGTAGTTTAATTTTAAAAATTTGTCAAACTTGCTAAAATTATTATCGTTTTTTTAAAGTAGAATTAATGAAGTATATTATTTACTCATTTTTTTATTAAGTCGATTATTTACACATATCGGGAAGTTCATGTAACTTGCCTCAAGGCTAAATACTAAACCAACTAGTTTTATATTTTGCTCAACTTCACAAAACATCAGTTTATAGAATGTTGAAAAAAGAACCACGAAAGGCATTATTTAATATCTTTGAACAACTGAGCTGAATTGGTGAGTCACAACTATTGACTTAATATATGAATTAATGATATAAGTATATGAATTAATGAATAAAAGTTAGAATGATGTTTACTCTGATTGCTATTGAAAATAAAATAATAAAAGTTTTCTATTTTATTAAATTAAGTATTATAACATAGATAAGCAATTACTGGTTCCGGATTCGATATACACCTTGATCAGCTTGATATCAAGCAGTACTAATATCAGATTTTTATTAACTTTCTGTATGGTAAGTTATAGTTCATATTCCGTAGATATATCTTTATCTTTAAGAGGTTTCTGAATATTTTGGCATACCTTAGAAAAAATTGATGTATGTGTGTGTATGTGTGTGTGTGTGCGGATACAAATTTTCGTCGACGATTTCGGGAACACCGATCAACCGATTTGAACAATTCAAAAAAACATTCGATTCGTATTGATTAGTTATACTGCGGCGCCCTCGCGCTTCTATATTTCATTTCTACGCGGCTAACGTATCGCGATTGCTTTGAAAAAAAGTTCAAAATTTCCAAAATATTTTAAAATATAAAAAAATCAAATTTTTGAAATGGGTAAATTTTTTCAAAAATTTTAAAAATCTCAAAAATCGATTTTATCATACTTCTAGAAGAAAATTGAATCTTTTTTTAAAAAAATTAATTTTTGGAACGGAAAGTTTCTTTAATTTGCTTTAAGGCGTGATGCCATGCACAACATACCGAAGAAGAAGTTTATGTTATCGCCAGAAATTCCGACTTGCTAAATTCGTTTGCTCGATATTTCAAGTAATTCTGGATCATTTGATACTAAAGTATGTGAACCGATTTTTGATTTTTCGTCCAAGTTTACTCAAAAACGGCTGAACCGATTTTAAAAATGTAAAAGCCATTTGAAAGATTTTAATAAGGAAAAGTTGGTTTAGGTGGTCCATTAATCACGTGATTGATTTTTTAAGAATTTTTGGACCTCTCTCCCCCTTGATATTCAAAATTACCCCCTCTCCACACCAAACATTACGTTTTTATTTATTGTTGGTTTTATTGTATTTGTATTTTTAGTTACGATAAAAAATTATATATTTTTTATTTTTTTGAAAATGTTTGGGTTTAAAAAAATCAGGTAAAAAATAAATACACGTGTATCTTACTATACCCCTCCCTTTTTCCCATCATATTTTGTGATTTTTTGTCAAACATCCCCCTCCCTGAAAATCTCACGTGATTAATGGACGCCCCCTTAGCAGAAAAATGTAACATTTGTCCCCACGTTTGTTTTAAAAAAAAAATCTGAACCAACCATGATTTATCATTATTATTATGATTATACGTGGCACTCAACCTGTTGAATAGGTTCAAAAATCCGATTTAAATTCGAGAGTTCGAGTTTACATTCTGCATGTAAACAGAAGAGTATTTTTAGAGTAAACAATATTTCTTGTGTATACATCATCTTCGAGAGCTAACAAGATTACAATTTTGTTATTTAATAATTTGTCTTGATAAAACACAGAAGTCGGGAAATTTGTTTTTCAAATTATAACACATTATCGTTAGTTATAAATACACATATATACATACTTACATATACAATTCTTCTGTACGGGTGTATGATTTGATACTTTTCCTAAACGGTTATTCGGATTTTGATAATTCTTTCTAGAGTTTGTCAAAGGAAATTTTTAAGATTTAATGAACGATGAAATTATAGTAATATTTTAGAAGTAAATGGCAAAAATTACAAAAAAACACTTACCATTGTTTGACATTGAAAACATTTGCTAGAAATGTCAATTCACTTGAAATTTGAATTTAGCTGAAATTAAGAGCCTAGATAATATTGGAATAAAATATTCAAGAAAAATGTAATGCCTACATTATTATTGCCGAAAAGCAGCTGAGATGTGCCAGAAATTAAAATATTATAAGATACAGCCAACAGAGTGTATGGTTTGGCAGATGAAATTATATAATTCAGTTTAATAAATAACGCACTAAGTCCAAAATTGCATATACATTATTTTTTTAATCTCATGCTTGTCGCATTTGTTTTTTTCTGCTAAAAACAAAATTGTTTATAACTAAATTGGTATTCAAAAATTTGGTGAGAACAGTATTTTAAGAGACTTTTAAAGGAATTAATTATTCAAAGAAAATTAAAAACAATTAGTTTTTAAGGATATGATTCCATTCCTTTAAGAGTTCTTTAATTAATATACCACTTTCACCAAAATATTCTCCAAAATGTTATAAAAAAGAAATGTTTTTTTTTTACACAATATCTAATGATGAAATGTTTTTAGTTCCGAAACGAGCTTAAATTAGAATATTCAGCAAAACATAAAAAAATTACTAAGTTTTCTTTATAAAATAATAGTGCATGCATTTCTTTGAATTTTTTAATTTATTTATATATTTTTCTCAAATTATTTATCAAAATTTCATTGTTCAGATAAAAACTGTTAAAAATTTATATTAAATCTAATAAATTTTGTAAGTAGGACAAAAAAATAGTATTTTATGTATAAACATTTCTTAACTAAAATAAAAATGTAATGTTTTATTAGAAATTTTGATAACCCAATAACATTTTATTAAATGAGAAAAGAACGTATACAAAATTGAAATAAAAAATAAATTTGCTACTAAATTATTTACTTATTTTTAACGCAAAAGAATCAGAAATCTAATCAGAATCTTAGTTACAAGTGATAGAATGAAAATGTAAAGTTTATTTTATTTTAATTTATAGTTTACAATTTAAACCCAATAAAATTTTATTAGACGAAAAAAACGTATTAAAAAATTAAAAAAATTAATGAATTTATTACTTAATAATTCAAAACTTAATTTTAACGCAAATGTATCAGCAATCTGATGAGAATCTTAGTTAAAAGTGATAAAATGAAAAATATAGAGTTTATTTTATTTTAATTTATTGTTTACAGAGTTAAATCCAATAAAATTTTATAATACGAGAAAACCGTATTAAAATTGTAATAAATTTACTACTTGATTATTCAAAACATAATTTTTACGCAAAAGAATCAGAAATCTAATGAGAATCTTAGTTAAAAATAATGTAATAAAAATATAGTTTATTTTTTTATTTTAATTTATAGTTTACAGAGTTAAATTCAAAAACATTTTATTATACGAAAACAAAACGTATTAAAAGTTGAAAAATTGAATAAATTTACTACTTCATTATTCAAAACTTAATTTTAACGCAAAAGTATCAGAAATCTAATGAGAATCTTAGTGAAAAGTGATAAAATGAAAATATAGAGTTTATTTTATTTTAATTTATAGTTTACAGAGTTAAACTCAAAAACATCTGATTGAATATTTTAATTTTTAATAAAATTTAATAATTCAATAAATTTTCCACATCATTATTTTATTATTCAAAACTTAATTTTAACGCAAAAGTATCAGAAATCTAATGAGAATCTTAGTTGAAAGTGATAAAATCAAAGTATAGAGTTTATTTTATTTTAATTTATAATTTACAGAGATAATTTTTTAATTTTTATTTTGAAGTAATTTCAAGAATTTTATACATAATTTGTCAAGAAATTTGGATGCCCATAAAAATTTGCAATTAATTTTTTTTTTATTTAATTTCTTATGAACAATAAGCAAAGACTGCTAACTGTAAATATCTTACAATATAAACTAAAAGGTTGATTTAAGTTGATAACAAATGCTGTAACAAATTTATTAGTCTTTAATATTTCAAGATATATGTTATTTTTATTTTATGTTCTATTATAAAGAAATGCAATGTGATATACTATTTGCAGTAGGTAATTTATGTATGCAAAATTTCTCTTTTAAACATTGCAAATGTTCGATAAAATAATGCATGTATGTTGCCAAGGAAAACCAATGGATGAATTTAATGGACATACTTTGAGAAAAAGCACGCATTGTAGTAATATATGATAAATTTTTATATTACAGCAAACATAATAATCTGTCAGGAATCAATTTCTTTACATTTTCGGTTATTTGGAACGTGAGATAAAAAAATTCGACTGCCCTGGTAAATACTTAAATAGCTCAAATTGCAAATAAAAAACAAAAAAACAAATATTTGTACGACTACTGTCTTAAAGTAGATTTTTAGTAAAATTCTAAATCTCACTAACTAGTAATGTTCGGAAGGCGGCAATCTTCATGGCATTGAGCTTTTACACCCTGTAGAAGGGGTAACTAATTTGGATTAGACTTAATTTTTTTCAAATTCAATAAATTAGTAATTAATACAGTCCACAGATACAAGAGTTAAATTATAACCCAACAACCCGAGTTATCGAAGGAGAGGTTTAATACATTCCATAACTGGAATTCGAGAATTATATTTTTCTTAACAAAATGTCACCGTTTTAGAAAATCGAAGACATTCAAATTGGTCAATTCAGTTATTTTTAGATATTTTATGCTGGTTTATTTAAATTTTTGTTTTTTGGATCCTGAAAACGAACGAATTGCCTTGATGTCAAAGATTGATAGAACATATATATGATACAAAAATGTTTTGTTTAAATATTTTGCTATAGTAGATTTTTAGCACGTGCGACCCATGGTGAAACCGAGATTTATAGTTCCACACATAATATTTTAAAATAAACTAATGAACTAATAAATAAATAACAAACTTACTTGGTTGCTTGACTGGTTCCTCTTCTTTCACCGGGCATTTTTCCAAGGTCGAATCCATTTTCTAAAAATTCAAAAATAACGGAGACACGAGTTCAAAATCCTTTCGCACTTTGAAAACTATAAAGTTTATTTTTTCTAAAATGTCTCTTCTATATTTTACATTTGTCACTAAATCATATCTATTTCAAAAAATTATTACGGTCGCGCGCATTTATCACTCATAATTCTGTTTCAAAATAAATGATGAGGAATGGTCGAGCAGACGAACTGAAATAGAAAAAAAGAAATTAAAAATTTAGGTAATAAAAAATTGGCAAAAATACATTTTATAGTAAAAAGGTAATAATCATAATATAAATATATGAATATGTTATTAAAAAAATTAAGAAGTCTAACATAAAATAAAAAAAGTAATTTAAAAATTGCCAAAAATTCATTTTATAGTAAAATTGTAATAATATTAATACAAATTTATAAGTATTTTTGTATTACAATTTAAGAGGTTTAACATAAAATAAAAAAGTCAAAAATTTTTTTTAACAATCTTCATTTTTAATAATATAATATTGTGTCAACAAGAGTGAATCTACAATTTAATTTTAAATGATAAAATTGAATTTTAAATCTATACATTCCTTTTTTATAATTGTACCGATAATCGAGCAAAATTATAAGTTACTGAAATAATTAAAGAAAATTTTTAGGGTCAATAATTATCAAGAAAACGAAATAAACTTATTTGCGATCATAAAACTAAAATCGTCAAAAAATATATTTAGCAACCATTAATGGATTTACATCGTATTTTTAATACAAGTCATTTTATTATTTTATATTAAGATACCGTCATTTATCAAAATTTTGCTGTCTTTACAAACGTAACTTTACATTTTTGGTACTCAAAAATGATCAAAATATTATTAATGATTTTAAAGATACTTTTTGAACTTTGTACTTTGTTTTGATAAATAAAAAATAAATATAAATTTATGAAACAAATTTTGTTTTATAATTTTTAATTTTAGTCATTATGTTTTGTATTCACTTTCAATAATCTTGAAATGTTTTAAAATATTTTTTGTAAAATTTAAATAATTTATTCCCAGTTTATTATTTTGTAAATATTTTGTAGAACTATCTGAATTATACATATTAAACATTATACACATATATTTAATTGGATTTTTTTTATATTTATTGCATTTTAATTTCATAAAATAATTATCGTTACAGTGTTAGATATATCAAAAAATTAAATTTAAAAAAATAATTTATATTATATTTAATTTGCCGTAGGGTAAGTTATAGTAATAGCAAAAAAATCGAAAATGAAAATTTTTACATATCTTCACGTTTCTGACATTGTGGCATACTTCAGCAAAAATGGATGTTTGTGTGTGCGTATGTTTGGATACCATTTTTCACGGTTTCGTGAACACGGATCAACCGATTTGAGTAATTCAAAAAACATTCGACTCGTATTGATTGGGAGACTGTGCTGATTAGTTTTTGACAAAGGCAGGCCAGTCCTTTTCAAAGATACGGGGCAAAAGATGCAAAAAATTGTAATAGAGCGTCCAATTTGACTGAATCAGAAACATTTTTTTGTATAGACAAAAGGAAGAACTTATTAAATTTTTTGGAAAGCAGGTCCAGCGATTTCGGAGGTCCAATGAAAGAAGTAATAAAAGCTATATAAAATGATCTGTAGATATATGCACATCAAATTTTATCAGATATTTTATAGAGATTTTAATAATGAGTACAAATTTTATACTTGCACTTCGGTGGGTTCCGTACCAAGATTTATAATGTTTAAACGTTTGACTGCTAAAAATGTGAAATTTGTAATCAAAATAGAAAAAAATATGGATTTTCAAAAAAAAATTGAAATACAAAAAAATCTAAGATTTAAAAAAAATTAAAAATCTAATTTGCAGTACACAAGCTTCCAGCAATTTGCCTTAAAGCACGATGCCATGCACTACTATTTCTTCTATATTATTATATAAAGATTTGTATATTACTAGTTGACCTGGTAAACGTTGTTTTACTATATAATATATTGTTAAAAAATTCTAGAGAAACCAAAAACTTACTAATTTATTGTGAAGGAATTCCTTCAAAATTGTAGGATATTTGTCAAGCCTTCAAAATATAAACATAATTTTATTGCGACTTGCAACTCGTTTAATAATGTTTTTGAGTATAAGCAAAACTACTTACTACAATTAAATATTATCCATTTAAAACATCCTATTAAATTAATTGAACACAATCTGTCAAAAACATTTGACATTTGACGTATGAGCCGCAGTTTCATTTAAATAACGCTTTTATAAAAAAAAAATTCAAATTAAAAATGTAAAGTTTCTACGCGGTTTTGAAATAATTTCTCATCTTTCCAACAATCTCTGGATATATATATTTGCACGAATAAATGTGGCCAAATCGGTGCAGCCGTTTTAGAGCCTTAGCATACCTAACATAATATCGAGCTCCATTTTTATATATAAGGAGAAGATAAGAAGATTTTGTGTCTCATTTTGTGAAGATTTAACACACCGTTTGAATAACTTATTAAAAACAATTTAAAATTGTTTTTATTTTTAGTAAATGTATAGATGTCTGTGAATAAACTTTTTATACTATTTTTATATACCGCTAGGTTACCTTGATGAAAATTTGATCAATTTTTCATCTTGTCAATACAAGTAAAATGTTTTTTGTCTATATATCAGGAATAATCTTTGTCTATATATCAGGAATCGAATGTTGTTTGAATTATTGAAATCGGTTGATCTCAAAATCGTCGACGAAAAATTGTATCCGCACACACACACACATACATAATTTTTTTTTAAGGTATGCCAAAATGTTTAGAAACCTTTGAAACGTAAAAATATATAAAAAAAAATATTTTCGATTTTTTGCGATACATACTCTACGGGAAGTTAATAATCTTATTAAAAATATGTACTCACACGTTTGTATGTAAAATCACTGAAAATCCAGAACTTTATTAGAACTGTATTAATACTGTATCAACTGTACTTTATTTCAATCACTCGTTAAATAAATAAATAAATAGATTTCCCATTGGTATCAATTGAAATTCAAACGGGCAACGTCTCCGTAACGGCGCAGCGCAACTCCCGCCGTCAATATATTATAAATACTGATACGAGCAACAGTTTCGCTTTCCGTTTTATAATCGTGATAACGACATCGGCACGTACTTACTGTATTGTATTATAGTATAGTATAGTACGGGGATTATTATTTGTATATATGATATATACAGGGCCGCTCCTGGGGTACTTAGCGCCCGCATGCCATATTATTTCTACCAATTTCCTGAAGTGTATGTATTCAAATATACTTTTCCACCGGGTATCAGATTGATGTTTTAAAGTTAAATTTAAACTAGTGGGGCGCATGGCATCGTGCCTTAAGACAAATTGCTGGAACTTCCCGTACCGCAATTAAACATTCGACGAATAAAAATAATCAGTCAACAAAAATGTTTATGAATAAATATTATAAAAATTAGAATTTTCATTATTTGTTCCCTGTGGACAAAATGTAAAAACTTAATAGATTAGACGACGTCGTTTATATATGTTTGAATAAAATATATATATACTAGCTGTAAGTGGAATTCTGTTTTAAGGCAATTAAGGCATCGTGCCTTAGGGCAAATTGCTGGAACTTCCCGTACCGTAACGAAATGTTCGAGGAATACTGAATGTTTTCAAATAGATTATTATAAATATTGTAATATTGACTAATATTCATAAGAATTATCTAAACTGAATTGCAAATTTAAAATTATTTGTTTAAGTTTTATTAGAATAGCCAGAATAGAAATAAAATCTGAATTATTTTCGATATACAAAAAAAAAAACTAAAAAAAAAGAAAATTATACAATTTTTTTTTTTCAAAATCAATTATTTTCTTAAGACAAGCAGAAAGTTCTTTGAATCATTTAAATCCGACGCTTAGTTCTCCCAAAAACTGCCATTTTTTACATATTTAGCTCCGTATCTTCGAAATGGCTGGTCCTGCCTTTGCCAAAAACTAATGAACACTTCTCCCAATCATTACTAATTGAATGTTTTTTAGATCATTCAAATCGGATACTCCGTTCTCTCAAAAAGTCGATTTCTATTTTCTGCACTCTTTGCTCCGTAACTCCGAAACGGCTAAACCTGCCTTCGCCAAAAACTAATCAGCTCTTTTCCCTATCAATAGGAATCGAATGTTTTTTGAACCATTCAAATCGGTTGATCCGTGCGCCCGAAAACGTGACTGGAAATTTGTATCCATACACATACACATACACATACACACACACACATCCATTTTTTCTGAGGTATGCCAAAACGTTCAGAAACCTTCAAAACGTCGAGAAATGTAAAAATTTTGAATTTCGATTTTCGGCCCATTACAATAACTTACCCTACGGGAAGTTAACAATATCTAATTAAGCAGACCTATTGTTAGAATGAACATATTTTATTTCAAATGCATCAATTTTTCGTTCGAGAAATATATGCACTGAGTTAACAATTTTAAATAGTTCATGTAGTATCAACTATACAAACACAAAAAGTATTACAAAAATATTATAGACATGGGATTTCAACCCGATCAGTTTTGACTTTCTTATCTACTAACGCAAACGAAAATTGCGGTGATGCGGCAACCAATTCAGCTACAACGACATGCTCACGCACAACGCTATGAGCGGACGTCTAAGATCTAATCGAAATTTCTGCATTTTTTGCTCTGTACCTTCAACACGGCTGGACCTGCTTATACTAAAAACTAATCAGTACGCCTACTCATCAATACGAATCGAATGTTTTTTGAATTATTCAAATCGGCCGATTTGTTCTCTAAGAACCTGTCATTTTTTGCACTTTTTGCTCCATATCTTTAGAACGACTAGATCTGCCTTTGCCAAAATTTAATCAGCACGTCTCTTTATCAATACAAATCGAATGTTTTTTGAATTATTCAAATCGGCTAATCGGTCTTCCCGAAATCGTCGACGAAATTTGTATCCGCACACACACACATACACACATACATCCATTTTTTCTAAGGTATCCCAAAATATTCAGAAACCTTTAAAACGTAAAGATATATATAAATTTTCATTTTTGATTTTTTGCGATTACTATAACTTAATAAAAAAAGTTATAAGAAAATTAAGTTATTAAGTTATAAAAACTTAAATACACACAATACAATACACTTACAATAAATTATAAATTTTTTGGATTTTCTGGAAATTGTTTACAAATACCTTATATAGTAAAACAACGTTTGCCGGGTCAGCTAGTATATTACACAATAAATAATATAATTTAACTTTTCTTTTTGATTTTTTGCGATTACTATAACAAAAGAAATTATGTATTTCTTGAATGATATTGAATTTTTTTTATTATAAATTCGGATCTTTCTATTGGCGCCCCCTAAGGAGTGCGCCTGCATTTTTCGCATACATCGCATTCAAGGTAGGACCGGCCCTGGATATATATTATATATATATATATATATATATATATATATATATATATATATTATCCTCTATCAAAAAGATTATCGAAAAAAGTAAAGACAAAATAATCAGTGCCAAAGCGATACGCGAGACGAGATAGAATCATTTATAATGAGATCGATATAAATTAGACGTAAAGTGTCTACGAATTTTTTGACGGTGATAATAAATTTTGGGTTATTTTAGATCAGCGGTTCTCAAAGCAGGGTTTGCGAGATAGATAGTTTTAGAATTTGATAGAAATATTTAGAAGGTCGTAAGGATACTATAGTGATGGACCTCGAGTTCTAGCAAGGTTTCATTGAAATATACTAGAAAGTTTTGTTTTAGGAGTTGGAAATTTACTTAAGGCAATGAAGGTGGCAATCTTCATGGCATTGAGCTTTTACACTAGATGGTTACTACCCTGTAGAGGGGGTGGCGGATTTGGATCAGACTTATTTTTCTCACTTCTAAAACTAAAGTCCAGGTAACAACATGTGTAATAAATCATCAATAAATATACTTTCTTCAATTAGAACTTTGTGACAAATCATTAGTGTAATAAGAACTTGCAAGAAATACATAAATTATACTAACAAATCAGTGTTTCATACAAGGGTTGAATTATAACCTAACAACCTGAGGTATTGAAGGAACGACTTAATACGCACATACAGCTATAATAAAATTATTGCTAAAATTATTTCCAGAGTCCTCAGAACCATTAAAGTTATATTAACCAACTTTCTCAATATGATAAATATCTATATTTAATTATATTATGTTATTTATTTCCAAATTCTGTTAGGGTCAGTTTATCATAGTAGTAGATTTTGTCTTTTATGTACTAGGAATAAAATTATGTACTAGAAACAAAGTTTTGACAGAGGTCATAGATTTTGGTTTTGTCTTTCATGTTCTAGGAATAAAATTGTCCACAAAGTTTTGACTGAGGTCATATATTTTGGTTTATTTTAGACCAACTGCTATAAAAGTTGTAATGAACTAGAAGGTCACTAAGATACTTATAATGAACCAGAAGTTACAGTTACGGTTTCATTATTGTTAAGATTATTTTTTGGACTTTCTCAGGACTTAAAGAATCCTAAATGAAATATTCATAGGCAATTTTATTGTATCCTCGATTTACATCACTTGAAAGCTGTAAATCAGTTTTCCAGCGATTTTTGGGCTTGTTTCACATTAAAATTGTCATGTTTTTTTCTAATGTCGACATCATTTTTAATTTGACCTCCGTTAATTACCAAATAGTCCCTTAACATAGAAAACACTGCTTGCTTAAGCCTTATTATATACATAGGTTCTATTTGTATAATATTTTTCCGAAACAATCTGCAATATACGGATTTCGGAATATTTAAATTGTATTTTGAGTACATATAAATTTTGTAAAAGATATTGATTGCATGTAGCTATTCGTTTAAAAAAAAGTCAATCCAAAATTCCAAAAATTCCACATGATGAATGACAAAATACTAGATAAATTTTACTATTAATATTATACTTCTGGAAGATTGTTTTTGTAAATAACACACGTTTACATAAATATTTTTTATAGTTTTTCAAAAGTTTCCGAATTCGTTGTTATTTCTATTTTCTAACAGCTTATAGTCAATAAAGTAATAGGTATTTATTTATTAGTTTATTAAATTGAAAAAATACTTTTGTTATTGTTAGTTTATAAAAAGTGAAGGAAAATAATATTTCACGAAAAAATAAACAAATTGACGCATTATTTTTTATTGGAACTTTTCAGAAAATAATAGCCAAAGCATTTTAATTTTATAGTCATAAACAAATATTCAACACCTAATGAATGGTTTTGAATAATTGTAAATCATAATAATATTGATGATTAATTGCGCGTAAATGACTACATAAGTAATAATAATATTATTATTAAAAAATACTTTTATTCATGTTGATATGAGTGGCAGATGTGCTACATTTGCAGAAGTACTTTTAGTACATTTAAAGATCAATTTTTTGTCATTATTCGAGGCATACTATAAAAAACCATATAAATAGACTTTCTAAATTTTGGAATATGGGAATAACAGAAAAATATATTGAATGCATAATAAAAATAATATAAATAAATTGTAGAAATTTTTTTTTTGAGGAAACAAGTAAGATGTTTGATGGAGCAATCTCTGGAATACAACATTGAAACACAAAGCAATTTTTGGAGGATTTTCAAAGAAAATTTGGAAATAATTTAATTACTTTTTTGTACTCATATTCTGAAATAAATTAATTAATATGTATAATTTTACAGCCTTTTTGTATATTAATATATTTTGTAAATTATGTAGAAATAATGTAATAAATGCGCCTGATAATATGCTATTCACAAAAAAAAATTTGCTTTTGATTCTAGAATCAAATTTTATTTCTAGACAAAATTTTTATACGGTTTCAATAAATCCTAAGAAATATGAAAATAATATGAAATAACTCGTTTCAACACGAATTTTCCACACTATTTAAAATATACTGTTTGGAAAACAAATCAATATAACATTTCTAAGAAAATGTTTATTTACTTTATGAAATCAATCTGTAAGATCTAACCCGTAAA